AAATGTTTTAAAGTTATTATATTATAAGCATGATAACTTTTAATCAAAATATATTTGCTTATTACCTCCAAAAAATTGATGACGTCAGCTCAACATTTTGCTGAATACATCCTATCTAAAATGTTCAAAATATGATGAGTCTATACTTGTGATTTATCATTCCATTCATATTTTTTAAATTTCTTTATACAGAGTGACTTAAAAAAATTAATGACTGAGTGAATTTATTTTATTAATTTTGAGCATACAATACTGTTACAATTTTTAGTATTACACTGCACTAATCCAAGTGGATATACGTGCCCTTGCAAAAATGTTGATGACGTCATCATAAAATTATGTAAAATAAAAACTCAAATCAAAAATGCTGGATATGTTTCATAGTACGAGGGAAATTCTATCGAAACAACTTTTGACCAATTTTTTCCCTTAGTTTTCTGAATGGATCATAATTTGTTCCTGTTTTTTTTATTTAGATAGTCTTTCAAAATTTTCTTTTTGTATTTAATTTCATATTTTTTGATGTTTTCTATCCACGATGCAGTTTGTTTATTTTTATTAGTTTTCCAATATACTCCATACACTTTTGCACAATCTAACAAACAATTCTTCAATATTTCCAAATTTTCTTTCGTACTCGTTATCTTTGATTTTTACTATCTCATTGGGTAGTACTTACTGTTATTTCGTATTTATTGCCATATTTCTATTGGTTAACTTATACAGGTCGTATACTATCAGGTTTTGTTTCATTTTCTCCGTTGTTAATATTTAACTTGTTTCTTTCTCTGTTCTCTTATTTTAGCTACTAGTGGGTAGTGGTCATTATTTATTTCGGGGCCTTTCTTAACGCTAACATTTTTATTGCTTTTCTGTTTCCCTGTTACTAACACGTAGTCTCTTACAGATTTTTCCCCTTGTATATAAGTTGTTTATTTCGTTAAATTCCTATAACCACTTACCGTTATTATTTTTTGTTTCTTCTCCATATTTTCCAATAACTGTTGTATCGCTATAGTTCCCTTTGCCTACCTTCCCGTTAAAATTTCCCGTTATGTATAAGATACTTTTCCCATTCTCATTTGCCACTGTCAGTTCTTTCCAAAATTTGTGATGATGTCTTCTCGTTTTATCTCACCACATTTTCTTGTTATTATTAGTATTACACCGCATCTATTCAAAAAGGTTTATATCTCCTTACTAAAATATTGATGACGTCATCACAAAAATTTGGTGAGAAAATGCACTTGAAATATACGCTCACCATGCTTCTTTACCTGTACTTAGCAGTTCACACATGTCTTTATTTTAACTTATCATAAAAAAATCAAATTTGCAAAATTTTATTTTATAATTTTTCGAAGAATTTTTCCTTCGCCTCTACTTCAGGGGCGAGGGAAGTTCTGTCTAAATAACTTTACACCAATTTTTTTATTCCTGGTTTACGATTTCGGGGTCCGTCTTTTATATTTTAACATTTTCACGCTTTTTGAGTTTTTAATTCAAAGCGGATTAATATGTTTTATAATGAAATTAGTCCCGTACGCTATAAGAACTTAAATAACTTACTATAAGTATAAGATACAGAGTGATAGGTTTATTTGCATTCCGAATCCTAGGTAAATCGTAATACCTTATAAAGGAGCTTTTGTTTTTAAATAAATAAAAAAATCCTAGATCAATACCCACGCACACTTACTTTTGAAATAGGGGTTTGCAGTGAGCAGTAAAATCAATAAACCAAAATTACCCTCAACGCTTTCTTTCGTTAAATAAAAAGTCTTTTTGCTGTTGTCGTTAATCCCTATTAAACAATTTTTTAACTCGTACTTAACAGAGATTTAAAACCAGAAAGTTAAAAAGTTAAGGCCGAAGTGATCAATTTATTTTCTGAGCTAGAATATACAATATTTAACTTACCACACAGCTTATCAATATGTGTTTTCCAAGACAGGCTTTTATGAAGATGAAAACCTGGATATTTCAAGTCGATCTTAAAAGCACTTTGTTTGAGAGTAAACATTAATGATTGATTTTTCTTTTCATTTACTCTTAATTTGTTTTGATTAAACCACTTTTTGGCATCCTTGACCGCAACTTTTTCTTATCTTTGAGTCGATCCAAAGTGACATTTGATGAACTATGGCAGTATCATCTGCCAATAACAGTATTTTATCACCTCTAACATTTAGACATAAGTCGTTAATATAAATAATAAAGAAAAGGGGGCAACGATCGAGCCTTGCAGCACACCTACATTGACGGGAATTGTGGAGGGATATTGATTATTGAAATAAACTGTATGTTAGTTGGACTACCATTCTAGAAGCTTTCTAAAATATTTTCGAAACAATTTGAAGTGGCTAATGTTCTAGATTTATTAGTGCGAAATCCATATGTATATGCACATATTTAATTATATGCACATGTATTAATTATGTACTTTTTTTCAGGTACGTATATTAGATGATTCTTCTAGTCCAACTGCAACAAAGAAGGGTAAATATAAAAAAAAAACACCTTCATCTTAAAAAATAAATTTGCAAATTAATGTCATTATAAATATCAGTACAAAAAGAACAATTTAACAATATAAAGTTAAATTTCCTTTACACTTCTAGATCAAAATGTGATTAGAAATTAGTGCTTTGTGTAATTTTTTTTTTGAAAAATAGATATTTTATATGTCAAAAAACTTGTTCGCGAAATATTTTTCATATTTTCGACTAATTTTTTCATTTGGTTACGCCTCAATAGAAAAGCTAACAGCCACTTAGCCCACAGGTAATTATTACATTTATATTGCTCAAAATTTATTAAACGATACATATAAAACAAGCTCTTACGTATTATTAATCTTCGTTTATTTTTCAGCAAAGTTTGAAAAATATTAATTTAAACCGATGTCTATCAACATAGATAAACAAAAACCTGCAACTGAAAAAAAATCATTTTAGAGATGTGGCGCTTCAAACTTGAAAACTGTATTTGTCTCTCGAACAAAACTTAAGTTCCGGAAATTTTGAACGGTAAAATCGAATTTACAAGTGTCCTGAAAATTTAAATCTTTTGAAGTGATTTTGCTTATTTATACATTTCATAACATAAATAATATTCGAGTTGACATAAAATCAATATCCAGGCGTGCAAGAATTCAAAAATGTTGCAGTGCTGTGGAGGAACTCAATGCAAATTTTTGTCAGTAGGAATTCGAGAATAATTGATTTAACCCGTCCCATCCGGAGGAACACAAACAATTTACTAAATTAAACGAAGCTCTACCGTTGATTAATTTAAATATAACAAGGTACCCCTCGTTTTCAGCTTAATAAATTACGTGGGTAGCACAAAAAGATCATCGACTGGTGGAAAGCCATCAATTTAATAGCTTTGGTGATAAAATTAACGACGAAGATGTTAATTAAGGCAGAGCGGTGTGCTAATTAAGACATGTCTATTGCATCCAGCCCACACGGAATTTTGACAAATTAATGAATAAAATCCACGTAACGTGACAAAACGCAGGATTCTAATTATGTGAAAATATGTAGAAGTACAAATTTGGTGATTACAATTTTAATACAGGACAAATTAATGTTTTATACTTATACTAAAGCACTGCATTTAAAAAAAATAAAATTGAAAAAACTATAAAATGATATGAAAAATTTGTTCCACAATATTGTGTCGAGAACTATTTAAAATTAAAAAACTAGCAAAGATCTTTATCTAAAACCGAAGATGAACATAATTTATTTTTTACTGATAATGACTATCCTGATATGATTTTTTTAATTAGGTTTATTTCCTTTTTTGAAAACATTCCTTATTCAGGATTGTTTATTTTGGCTAGCAGTTTCGGCTACTTAACTAGCCATCTTACAATTTAACAAGAGAAGGAAGAAGAATAAAATTTATAAATCTACTATACAATTGAGTAGTTTGTCAACATTTCAGTGTTAACGTTTGATTTTAAATGTATATATTTTCATTTTTATATCTTACACGATGCTTTTCCTAAAAATAGACAATATGTAGGACGTGAAAAATTGTATTTGCAGAATCACCACAAAATTTTCACTTCCTTACATCATTCTTTTACTTTCCATTCAAGAGATTCTTGTACATATTTTCAAGTCACTTCAGGTATTGAGCAATATTTTTTTCTGTATCTCTGAAGGTGTGGATTTCACTCCTCTGGGAAATCTGCTGTGTCGGTACTCAATAAATAACATTTTTTTGGAAGATCCCTGGGTAGTAAAGCAACGTATTTTTTCAAAGATCTCAAAAAAATTGAACGGCTGACACTTCCTTTTTGTAAGATTTCATATATCGTGCTGTGGATTATACAGAATGAGTCAACGTAATTTTATAAAACTAAAATTGGCAACACTGCTCACACCTAATGCGTGAATACATCCGTCTGACTCTCTGATCTCTTAGTAACAATGGTGAGTGAAATCCACATTCTCTTTATATCAGGCAACTATTGTCAAATGGAATTTTATCAAATTATTAAAAAACAACACAACCATATTTTTGTCTATTCTAACTGAAATGGTAATTAAACATGGTCATGAGCGAGAAAAATATTAACTAAAAGTTTTATTACTAGTTATTGTGATAATGAATGAGTTGTTTAGTTGTTGCATATAGCAAAAGAACCAATTTTAAAATCATTATAACTCCACCAAAAGGTGAGAAGGATTTTTTTTTATTTTGCCCAGACTCACCAGTTGATTGTTAAGAGATTTTCCAGACACCCGGTATACCTAGAAATAAAAATTCATCAATGTCAAAATTTAAGCAATGAATCAAATAAACTAAACTGCTCACCTTAATTAATAAAACATCGTGATTAAGTCTGGCCAAAGGCCAAAGGTTTGGAAAAATCTGTGTAAGCCACGCTAACTTATTACATGACAGTCAGTTTGTCTTTTTGGATAAGAATCTTCGGACTGCCTCTTTTATTGGGACTCAGAATGTAATTTTTATTCTAGGATGGCAGCATAATCCAGGCTTACTTATGAGTAGATGCTGCACAACGTATTTTTGCTGGCGTAACCTCTTCGTCTTCAACAAGTGAGTTGCCGCTAATATTTGAATCTTGTGTAGGAAGGAGAAAGGATTAGCATCATATTCTTTTCCCACTGATCATTATTCTTATTCGAAATGGTTGGAATACATCCACGATTCCTAAACCTGTAAAAGGTTAAGGTGGGCAGACCTTTATTTTTACGTTTATGTAACAATCTGCAATATCTTGTTCAAAATAATACCTACTTAAATATGTTTTTGGCATCAACGAACGCGCTTTTCCGTTCAACTTTGCTTTCATGCTTTAAATAGTATATTCATAACCAAAAGACTAAAGCGGCTGTCTTTTCCCGTAAATGGAGATTAGTGTTCCGAACGATAGCGGCATTAACCACTTAAGGAAAAAAAACCCTCTTGAGTCCTATGCTATTTATTCCATGTCCCCAGTAGTACTTACAATGAGAAAAACGTTTGAAAATATTTCAACAATTACAACTGTCAAGGTGACCTTTTATGTTTTTCATATACATAAAAGCTTCTGATTTGTTACGACACCCGAGCCAATGTACAAACAAGCGGTAGACATACTGATTTTTTTTTAAACTGTGAAAAGCTGCACTGAATTTAGTAGGAAACGTGTAATTTCAATATACAGAAAAAAAGCGGAAAAACTATCGTTGAATCTACTGCCAGCGAATTCAAAATTGATTTACGAGAAAATATATAAATTATTCGATGTTTGGTGGTCCTAAAATGAAGTGAATGTACCTACTTACAGAGAAGATGTGCTATTTTTTATTTGGATGAAACGGTAAGGAGTTTGAAAAAGTCGACGCTTTGGTCGTACTGTTCGATGCTCAAAGCGACCATTGGCTTGAAGCATATTATAAGTTATATCACGAGAGTATCATAGAAAATAATCGAAAATACTTAACGTACAATTAAACAGGTCAAACGATTTTATGATGTTCAACGGTAATTGTACTAGTCTTCTCATCTGAACATTTCTTTATCTAACTAGATAGTACTGTACCGGTACTATTTCCACGCATTTTTAAAATGATCAGGTCCTCTTAATAACCGGGATCTCGCCTCCTATTTTAGACTCTAGTTGGCACTGCTTTTCATTAAGTTGAAAGTGAGCGTGCAACAATATTTGAAAGGGCTGTTCTTGCACGTTAGAGTGGGTGGTACCAGATGTTCAGATGAGAAGACTTCGTACAATTAAAGTCGAACATCATAAAATAGTTTGACGTGTTTAATTGTACAAACATCTTCTCATCTGAACATTTCTTTATCTAGCTAGATAGACGTTTAAAGAAATATTGTTGCAGAACTAAAAAGTATCTATATATATGTACATTACGCGTATACAAAAAAAAACTAATAAGAGTATATAATGTTTATGAAAAGGTGGACTTCAGAATGACGTCTGAAAAGGTTGTGTCAGAGAGGTCGCTGGTAAAACCTAGCAAAAATTTTGGACGTAGATGTCCATCCTGCGGGCTGGCGAATAGTATCTAGGGCAGTGCCTTTGAGAGCGGCGACGGAAGTGCTGGCATGACGAGTGGAATATGCAGTTTATATATCTGTGTCAATTCGCGCTGCTTGTAGAGCTTGTTTTATCCACCTACCTAATGTTTTCACCGGAGTGCGCGTATACAGCTTCCGGAAAATACTAAAAAGATAATCTTCCTTCCTTCTTAAATTCTGAGTGGCCTCGAGATAGAGGCCAAGGGTGGTAAAGATAAACAGCTGTGGCTCTTCTGTAAAAATATAAATTTCAAAATTGGGATAAATGCCATCTCTTAAGGAGGCCTTAGTAGGGTCCACCACTGTGGCCCAAACCTTGGAAGCGGTAAAATGCAGACAAGAAACACGAAACAAAGATTTTATATTCTGTGAGCTGTTGTGAGGGCCAATAAGGTAGACAATTTTAAGGTTAACATATCCAGTGAGAGCTCACTGGTAGGAGGAAGAGCCCTCAAAAACTGAAGAACTATTGCGGGATCCCAGGTTGTTAAATATCTCGGTTTTGTTGGCCTTTGTTGTTTAACCCATTTCAAAAAACGCTTTATATGAATGTTATTACCAACATCATTAGGTAGTAGTAGAGCAAGGGCAGAGCGGTGAGAATTAAATGTCTCATACTTGTGTGCCGATCTATCCAGTAAGTTTTGGAAGAAACTCAAGATTTTAACCTGTGTAGCACAGAATGGAGTTACATCTTCTTGAGTACAATAAGTCCACCACAGTTTGTGGGTGACCTGATACTCTTTTAATGTGTCTGGAGATAAGGAATTTATCATTGTTTCGATGACTGACTCTGGCAAATTTCGTTGCTTACATGCCTGCCGGAGACAAGTCCTGCCGTCAACATAAGGGAATCTGCCAGTGGGTGAACTAGACTGAAAGGAGAAGAAAGTAGTTCAGTACTAGGTCCCAAATGTATAGGATTAACAAGAACATTTTTTGGAATAGTGGGTACCACGCTTGAGTGGGCCATTCCGGAACTACCAAGATATCCTCTGCTCTATCGAAAATTATCTTATTTAAGATTGTCAATATCAGCGAAAAGGGTGCAAAATGGATAGAAAAAGCATTGGCTCCATGACAGAGTAAATGCGTCTACCGCGAGCGAGCTGGGGCTTAGAGACCAGGATACATATGTTGTGCATTATGTGGTGTAGGTAGTATGCAAATTGGTCTATCTCAGGATTACCAAATGTCGCTGTTATGGATCGATACACCTTTTGAGATAGTTCCCATTCGGTTTCTTTTAATAATAATAATAATATTTATTCCTACAGGTAACACCCAATTACAGGAATAATATCAAACTAACTAAACTAATTCATGACAGTAACTAAAAAGGTATAAATATTGAAAAAACAAAAGTATCTACAGCTAATTAAACATTAACCCAAATTAACGATGCAATTACAAATACTAACACTAGAATCAAAATTAATATCACATAAATGTGCAATTTTGTTGAATAAATTACACATAACCGACACTGGAGAGCGAACTGAGACGTTTGTACGGCTAGAATCAATATAAAACAGAACTTGTTGACGAGAATTAAGTCTAGGTACAAGTATATTAAATCTATTTAGAATATCAATGCAGTCTACTTTATTGTGAAATAAATTATATAAAAATCTGACCGCTATTACTTTTCGTCGTACAGCCAAAGACAAATTCTTTTGACAGAGACCGAGATGCATGATCTGCTAAGTAGTTATCTTTGGAACTTACGTATGCAGCGTAAATCCCGAGCTCACCACTGCCAAATCTGCACAGCTAACCTATCCAATACTTCGCTTCACAACTTTGGTTAATTATATACTATTTCTTACACTTCTACTCAGAGTTGCCAAGAATAAGAAGATCATCAACATATACTAAAAAAAGTACGCCTCTTTTCCTGAGAAAAGCCAAGACGGGCTTAGTTAACTTTGTGAAAGTAAATGGGGCTGTAGACAACCCAAATGGTATGCAAGTGAACTTATAATAGATATTTTCAAAATCGAAACGCAAAAGCTTTCTACACTTTTATCTCACAGTGCCCATATAACAATTTTTGTAAGTTTTTATTTAGGCGCTTCAGGTTTAAAATAAAGCAATTCTAAGGGCTGATAATTCTGACTTGTCCCTGTGTAGGTATGGTGGGTGTCGTGATTGTGGAGGAACTTTCGTTAACGATATTTTGTAACATGTAATCCACTCAAAGAACGAATGATCACTAGTGATTTTTTCCCCTTGACGTTGAGAGCCTGGCGCCGGTGTTCAGGTAGCCGCCCCCCTCGTTCTTTGTCCTACAGGGGGTCTAGCAGGGTGAGATGGACCCGCTTTTAGCTCCTTGCCCACTTTTTCTATTGCTTTCACTTGTTGAATAATTTCATCCAAGTTACTCCCAAATAAATGTACCTGTGAAACAAGTTCTTTTACCTACTTAGATAAAACGGGAAAAAGATAGTGTCGGGGAAGTTGGCAGTTTTCATACACTGCATCGGCAATTACCTTGGCTGACTCCGACAATGGGGTAAATAGAGCTGTTTTGGCATCAGATGATAACAGATTCTCAAAAATTCTGGTGAATGTCTGTGCATGTAGTCCTATACTTACCAGCAGCTGGTTTTGTGCTGCTATAAAGTGAGCATCCTTCTTAACATTGGACGCAGGGCAATGGTCACAACCTCAGGGTTTAACTACAGGATTTTTAATCCAGATGTTTTCGGGAGCTGAAACTTAGTTAACAGCTCTACTTTCACCTCAGGAGCCAGGCCATGTTGCAAAAAAAAGACCATCGGTTTTCCAATTGTGGTGGTAAGGTGATCTGGCATTGTGAGGGAGTGGTGGGATCCTGTCCCAAAACCGCGACGAATTCCTTAGGTAATTCCCTGGGTACTAATAGCGATAATGCCGGGGAAACACTTCCCTGAGGGGTATTGACCTCGGCATGCTGGGGTGCCGGACAACAATCAAGTGATTGCGCTGCACTGAATGGTCAAGTTTGTTCGAGGGCGAGGAACGCGAGCAGCTGCGGCGATGACCCTGGTCGGTGATCAGCCTTTACGCGTCTGTAAGTCTAGAGTCTCGCGACCGTAACAAATGTGAGCGTTTGTCGCGCTTTTGGCGTTTTTCTTTTCCCATTGTGCTAAGGAAAAAGTATTAGAACCCTAAAAATAAATAATTAACAGTACCAGAAAAGTGTCTGCAAGCGGGAACGTGGTTCGTGGAAGCGCACAAATGCAATAATGAAGCGCAGCGCCAACTAGAGTCAAAAATAGGAAGCGAGATCGCGGTTATTCAGAGGAAGTGATCAATTTAAAAATTTGTGCGTGGAAGTAGTACCGGTGCGGTACTACCTAGTTAGAGAAAGAAATGTTTAGATGAGAAGACGTTTGCACAGTTTGTACCGAAGATTCATTTTCCACAAATTTTTGAATATTTACTTCTCGTGTCTCTCGTAACTACGGAATCAAACTAATTACTTGATTTTTGGATAAAATAGATCTAACGAAACACAATAGTATATT